ATGAGAGTTTCGAACCTACTCTCTCTCAGCACCCTAACACTATTTTATTAAGATATATTTGAATAATTACAAGGAGGCCCTTAGTTGGGCAAGAATTTACAAAGAACTTAATATAGACAGGATGGGCCCAGAATAAGGCCCATTATAGAAAAACATAAATAACAAGAAAGAATATACAACCTATGGGCCATTCGGCCCATCTTCTCTACAGAAATAATGTTCAATTCAGAATCTCTAAGGGCCCTTCTAAAACCTAAGTTCCAGTCAATAGTTATATTATCCCCCCAAATGACCCTCAAGATGGGGAGAAAATCCAACTGAGTCTGCTACTCTTCCAAACGCTTCTTACCCACCAACCATCAAAGTCAGCAAGTTTAGATTCTTGAATCAAGACCACATCCAGCCTTTCTTTCCTCAGCATTGCTTTGATAGTTGCTCTCTTTATTGCCCTACCCAGAATCATCACCACCTGAAATTAAGGCCCTTGCTCGTACTCCTCCCTACTTGTTCCCCCTAACCCTTCCTTTCCTGCCACTGAATTCCTTATCCACTTCCACATCCTTTTTAATCTTTCAACCTCACTAAGTTTTCTTTTCCTAGCCCCACCCACTTCCTTCTTCTTTCTCACAAAAGTGTTTACCTCAATTGGCTCTTTTAACTTGCACCCCAATTTATTTGTGAATTCAGCAACTGACTTTTCCTTTTCTGTATCATCACCTTCCACCCTTGGAACCCCAAAGCACTTCCCACTAATAGCACCACCAATATTTTCTACTCTTCTCCTCCTTGACCTCTCATCCTCTAATTCTTTTCTCTTCATTTCCTCCAGAAAACCTTCTATCAATTCCCAGATTTCCGTCCCATTCTCCTCCTCCACAACTACTTCCTAGTTCCTACTCACTCATACCACTGTTTCCAGCTTGCAGCATGAAGGTCACCCGGGTGCCCAGAGGAAAGGCTTCAGACAAAGAGCAATGGAAAGGGTTAGCCACTAAAACAGAATTCACAAGATTACTTGGGTTTAGAACGTGGTTGGAATCATAAGAGTGGCTGGACAACTTTCCTAAGCAATAGTTTGGAGTTTGCTATTTTGGACCAGGTGAGACCAAAATTGGGAAGCTTTCCTCGGTATCATCATCATTCTGTTTACCCCCAATAATCTGTGGCTTATCCTCCCTCGATGCCCCACTGCAATACTTAAGATTAGTCTCCACCAACCCCTCACAGACATCCTGTCTAATTTTAGAGTTTGGTTCTGGCATCCCCTTATTTAGGCTTTGGCTTCATGTAAGCATGTAACTTCTACAACAATATGAAAAGGAAATTTCTATAAAACAGCTGTAACCTGTAAGGCCAGCTATTCTGTATGGAGCAGAGTACTAGGCAGTCAAGAAACAAAATGTCCAAAAAATGAGTGTGGCAGAAATGTGTAAGCTGAGATGGATAAGTGGAAAAACTAGAAAGGATGGGATAAAAAATCAAGTCATTCAAAGTAACACTAGAGTAGCTCCAATAGGTGATAAAATGAGAGAAAGTAGATTAAGATGGTTGTCGCGTGCATGGAAGACCATTGACAGCATCCATAACAAGTAGTGATTTGTTGCAAGTTGAAGGGGCTAGATGGGCTACAGGTAAACGAAAAAAGACATGGGTCGAAGTAGTAAAAAATGATAAGTGCTCATAATTTAACAATGGATATGGCATTAAACAGAACAGAATGGTGAAACAGGATTCAAGTAGCTGACCCCATATAGTTGAGATAAAGCATGGATGATGATGATGATGACTAAAGGTTATAGGCCTAGGGTGTGGGCTGGATTGGGCCCAGGCCCAAGCTATAGACCTTATCATATGTTCTAAGCTCAGCCTTGGCCATACCCGTCCCGTGATCATCCTTATAACTTCTCAACAAGGCACCCATAGAGGGTTGCCTCATACAAGTGCTTAGTTTTTGTATAAGGCGCCATATAATATTTTATATTTTTACGCTTTTACTTGTATACTTTCATATTTTGTTTTGTGAGATTATAATATAACAAATAGTCATTATTATACTAAATTATTCATTTTGTGGTTTATAATATTTTCATAGTTCATTTACTAGTTTCTTTTTTTATAATTTTTTAATTTGTTGAAGTTAAATCAACAAGCATAGTGGTGGATGCTTTGTTAAACTCTTGAAGGCTTCAAAACCTTAACTGATAAGCAAGGAAGAACTTGAAGACCTTATCCGACCAACACATAGGAGTAACTCAGGTATCTTGCCTTCTTCTTCTGCCCCTTTCGTTTCTTCTTTTTATGGGGAAGAAACAGGGGCTCCACTCTCTACTTTTTATTTACACTTTCTATGGAGAATTTTTCATCTTTCTTAATGGATGACATCATCAGAAATTGGTGGAAGTAGCAGGAACATCCATAAATAAGGCTATCACTCTTATCATTCTCCACCAGAAAGAGGCTTTATTAAACTCAATTTTGATAGCAGCAACATGGGAGACCTAGAAAATTCAGGAGTGAGAGGAGTTTTAAGGAAAGATTGAAAGAAAAGGGCCATATTATTGCTATTTTTTCAAGCCCAATTGGTGTAGGTGACTCTTTAAGGACAGAAACTATGGCTGTGATGGAAGGAGTGCAAGGGCAAGGATCTGAATATAAAGAAGTTGATCATTGAATATTCATCAAAAATAAAAAGTTAAAAAGTTGATCAGTGAAGGAGATTATAAATTCTTGATGGGATGGTTACAGAGCCTAGAGGAAAGTTTTGAGCTTATAGAAATGAGATAAAGAAATCCAGATGGTTGACTAAAGACATGGAACTGAAATTTCAATGGGTAAAAAGGACTGCCAATAGTGTGGCTGATACTTTAGCTAAACAAGGAGTGGGGGATATCAAATTTTTTGGGCATGATTGTAAGAAAAAAAGAAAGGGGAGAGACAAGAGGCTTTATCTCTCTTTTGATTGATTGTAAATTCTCTTTAATTAATAAAGTTGATGGTTATTGATCAACAAAAAAATGTTCAACAGTCTGGCATATCAAATTATAGTACTGGGAAAAGACCCTAATCAGTGCATCCAATTATCAAATAAGCTAACAACAAAGTGAATTTTCCAACAACAAAAAAACTGGTGATTGATGAGAATTCGTTTATACCTTTGGCATGTAAGCATCTACCAGTGGACCATACTTCATAAAATAGCTGCAATGATCACCTATAACCAATCAAATTTCTGAGAAACAAATAATGCCATTATATTCTTATAAACTTTAGGAGTGATAACTTGGTCACTTAACCTGTTAAGGGGAAAATTACATAAAAAAGAAAAAGAAAAAGACATGATGTCAAAAGAACCATCCTGGATTTAAAACCTGTGAAAATCTTCATCTGTCACACTTGGAGGTATTCTGGCAACAAATATGCGACTGGTTTTCTTGGATGAAGGTGCCATCTCCTCCTGTATATGAACAAAAATTAATGCATGCTATTTTTATAAAAACAAAATGATAGGCCTGTATAAACTACTAATAGTAACATTTAAGTTTTAAGCAATTGCAAGGGGGAAAAAGATCCTACCTTTAAGAGGCACAAAGAATGAAATATTTTTCAAGCCAAATAACATGTACATCCATTGACAATTGTAAATGAATTATATGAAGCACAATTCATATTTGCTGCATTAATAGGTGATAAAATGAAGTTATTCGAAGGAACCTAGGAGTAGCTCCAATAGGTGATACAAGGAAAGAGTAGATTAAGGCCATATTTGGGAGTGCTTATGTTAAAAATAGTGCTTATTGAATAAGTGCTTATTCGAATAAGCACTTATTTGCATTTGACACCCAGCTTTTTCAAGTGCTTATTTTAAAAAATAAGCGCTTATTTAGTATGGGGCATTTGGTGGTATTTTTCTCCAATAAGCACTTATGACTCTTTTGTCCTTCATTTTCTTTCAAATTTTCAAAATATATCCTGTAGGTGGTAGGTATATTTTGAGCTTCGGGCTCATCTTGAGCTCCAAGAAGTGCTCCTACGGGCTCATCTTGAGCTTCAGCGAGATCCTTATCAACTTCATTCCAACAATCTCTGGCACGTCCCTGGCTGAAGCCCCGGGATTCTTGAAGGCTTCGGGCGGTGCTCCTACCAACATTGCCATCACGGACTTGCATCAGACTCCAGCACCAGTTCTTAAGCTTGCAAGCTCTTCATTTCTTGTTCATTTGGTAACTGCTGAATAAACAACAAATGGATGAACATCTGCAAATCCAATGATTTAACAGACTTCCTTTGCCTGAGGTTTTCGCACTTAAAAACCTTAGGCCCAGACATCCCCTCTGTTGGAGATACCGTTGGCCATCATCAATGAACATTCTGTGACCCCGAGCTCCCTTTGGACACCACGTATGCATTATGGACGCTTTTTTGATCATCTCATTTGCATGGTAATGGAATAAACAGCTCAGCCCCTCTTAGTTGTGGCAAGCCTGCACTGGGGACGGGGATTGGCTCTCGCAATCGTATCCGATGCCATCAGCACTGGGACAGGGATTGGTTCCATTCTGCAATGGAACCCCATTCGATAGCCCAAAATAATCGCTGCGATTACACATTAAGGGGATTTTGATCATCTCACTGGCGGCCACAGTTTGGTTGGATGAGGTGGACAGTGGGAGGGAGTTTGCTCCCAGTAAGGACGGCAGATTCTCAACTCCAAACAGCGTTTGGATGCTACCCAGAGTCGTCTTGTTCAGAGCTCTGTAGTTGGCCATAGCTGCAAGGGTGACAACGGAGAAGTAGAAGAAGCCCAACGTTTTTTACATTGAAAGGGTATAACCGGTATTCTAAAAATTGACTCGGGCCAATTCTGGGAGAAAAAAGTTGAATAAGTTCTAATTGTTGAAGCACTTAAAAAAAGCTGGAAATTTGGGATTAAAAAATAATCCCTTCTTTTAAAAATAAGCACTTATTTCAGGCTTATTTCCCAAACACCAACAAGTGCTTAATGGTGTGGTCCCGGCCCAAATAAGCAATTATTTTTAAGCACTCCCAAACATGGCCTAAGATGGTTTGGTCATGTGTAGACAAGACCATATACAGCACCCATAGGAAGTGATCTTTTACAAGTTGGAGGGGCTAGAGGAATAGGGGCAGACCAAAAAAGACATAAGTCAAAGTAGTAACAAATGATTTTAAGAGCTCATAAATTAACAATGCATATGCACTGAGTAGTACCGAATGGCAAAACAGGATTCATGTAGTCGATCCCATATAGTTTGGACAAGGCATAAATGATGATGATGATGATTATGATCCTTCTAAGACATGTAAAGGTGTTGGTACTCTTCTTTCAACTAGTCCTAACAAAGGATTAAGATGTCAGTTTTGGTGAACATCTCAACCACTTAAAACTAAGAAATATGTCAAAAATCTTGGAAATCTCATATAGATTCATTGTAGAAATTTTATAACATGATAAATATCTATAAAAAATCTTTTAATAAGTTCTGAAATTATAAAAGGCTATACTCTTAAACAATTGTATCACTATAAAGTTATAGATAACTTTTAAAATGATTACATCATTCCATGATTTTACTACACCAGTGGCTACTTAGTGATCAACATAGATATATTAAATCAGCCAAAGAGCCCATAACCTATTTAATGACTTGTTTACCAAAAGACAAAGCAATAGGCCATTCTTTTCAGCCACTTCATCCAAGGATCAAAGTTTTGATACTATACGCCCCGTATCGGGTGTATTGTATCGTATCTTTTGGTTGATACAATACCCCGTATCAGGTGTATTTAATGACCTGTTTACCAACAGTAATCAACCCTCTTTTTTTTAAATGAAAAATATATAAAATCCCATCCAAAAACCAGTTTTTGAAAAAAAAATAGAAAAATATAAAAGCGCACTGTTTTTAGTACCAATATGCCTCTGCCGATACACAGGCATATCAATACTTTGAGCCTTGACTTCATCCATTTCCAAACAACCTATAAGTTCTAAGCACTGCCACTGAAGAAGTTTGCAGGATCCACAGTGCAAGGATACAAGAGTCCCGAGATAATTGATATATCAGAGAGGCCAAAGGTAAAAGGCAGGGAGTCAATAGGGATGATTTGTCATGGGGAATAATTTCACAATAATCTTGTTTTTGTATATACGGTTTTGGGTTAAGGAGGCTAGCCTAAATCTTATAATTACTTTGTACATATTAATTTTTAATTTTTAATCAATGAATATGCTTGTACTGTTGCCTACCGAAAAAGGTAGAAGGCAGGAAAGCAATTTGAATTTTAAAATCATAATGGTGTTTAGGAGAAACCTAAATAAAAAAAGAGAATGTCAATAAGAAATTGAGCACTTGCCTTAGGAGTTGCAACTTTGACCTCAAGTGTCCTCCCATTTAAGTTATGTTGGGCTGAAAGTGCTTTCTGGCATAAAAAAATATTAAAAAAAAAAAGTATTCAAGCATTTGAGTGTTAAATGTTCAAAGCAGCTATGCAGTCTAGCATGATTCACAGCAATAGGAAAGATACCTCCGCATCTTCCAAACAGGAAAATGTAACATAGCCAAAACCACGTGAGCGTCCTGATGCACGATTCTACAAATGCTAAACTCCATGAGCTAATAGTTGCAGCTAGTCACAAGTGTTCGCTAGTTGAAGATTTATACAAAATTGCTTACACAAGAAAGTTAACTAGAAAATCTGTAAGCAAACATTTCAAACTCAAACATAGAACTAGCAAGACGAGAATTTTGTGTTAAAGATCCAGCTGCCTTAACAGGTTGAATGAAATTAGGAGAAAAAAAAATAAGGTCAACACAAGGACTTTTGGTGATGCCTTGTTGTACACAAGAAATACATCATTAGTAAACATGTAGGGTGGTCCTCAAAGATAATATCAAATGTTAATAACTAATCTACAAGCTTGCATGGTCCTACTCCCAGAATATTTAGCTCAACACAGATAATTGCTAACACCAGAAAATTGCAAATTCCCAAGACAAGAAAAATCTTAGTTCTGCCCCAGGCTTTCCAAGTTACTTTTCAGAATCTTACTCTTGCAACTTAGAACTCCTGTTTTCCAACTATTTTTGTCTACCACCTTTCCCTATTAAAGTTTCATTCTTAAAGTTGCTCCATCTTTATTCAAATCTGTTATTATGATGGTAATAAAGAGGTAAACCTAAAAACAATTTCTGTGTATAGAACAAAAGCCCAGAACAAACAGTCAAGCCAAGAGACTCAACGGAGAAATTAATGCAGAGTACAAGTCATTGGCTTCCATGCTGCACCAAAAAAAAATGAATTTCCCTTAAACTCTTTGTAGATAAGAAGATAAGGTACAAAAGAGACCTCTTCTGTGAATGCCCTTAATGATAGCATTGCAAAACTTAGACTACTAGCAGGTTCTGACTCCAAACAATAGTAAAAAGATCACCCTCCACCTCCAAAAGTTATGACCCTAGCACATAGCCCAGCACCTAGAAAGTAGAAAGTGTAAGGAGTTACAGTTCACACTACCCAACCAACTTAGAAATGAAATCTCACTTATCAAGGACAAGACTAGATTCCTACAATAAAGAAAAATCCAACTTGAACAAATTGTAGAGCAAAATTAGCAAAGTTTCCATACCCAAGAAAAAATAGAATAGAATGCTATATGTAGTGGTACATGGGATTCACATCTTAAGAGTAAACCTTAACTTATAAATATAGTTGTCAAGGCATCGCCTAGGCATCAACTAGGAGACTAGGCAGAGCACTTCACCTAAACACCTTGACGTATGGCAACTAGGCAACCAACTAGAAACATTTATATGTTTTCTTAAAATTCTACTATTCAAATTTAAAAGATCCAAGAGTTTTAAGAAGATAAAAGGAAATAAGGAATAGAAGTATAAAGAGGTTTCTTTTTTCTTTTTGTTCCCTCCCTCCCTCTCATATAAAATTATAGCCTTCTTTAGTTGCTTGTTAGATATGACATTGCTCTATTAAATGTTTATTATATAAGTATTGTTTTGAAAGTACTGGAATTAATATATTTGTAATACTATTGTCCTAGATGATGATTTGACATGTTTTCAGAGGACTTATAATGTTCTCAACAAAAAGAATTGTTATTTTTTTTAGTTAATATTCATGCTGAACGGTATATAAACCTAGGGAATCAAGTAAAATTTAGTTTTTTTTATTTTACAACATTCTTATCACCTAGGTGTCAACTAGGTGCCCCACTGTTGCCAGAATCGCCTAGACGCCTTGACAACTATGGTTATAAAAGCAAGAAAAGGATCTAAAGATTTCTACAAAATATTCCCTTGTAAAACTAAGGAAAGGGATAATGAGTCTGTGTCAACATTACCAACACCACATATGGCTGATGTAGAGCCATTGGCATGAGTAACAAATTGGGAAGTGGAGGATGGAGAAATGGATGAAAACACACCTGGAGTTCCAATCATATGATCGGAAGATCCAAAATCTATAATCCAACAGGAAGGTGTGGATGCCATACAAGCCATACCTGTGTGTGCAAGGGGTAGTCGTGATCTGTTGAGATGTACCCTGAATTAACCGCTCATACTCATCCCGTGAAACACTCACCATCTCCTTTCTGGAAGCATCTGTAGATGTAGTGGGGATCTGATCAGTAACTTGAGAGTCTTGTCTTGAGCTACCACCATTTACAGTTGCATAATTTGCCCAGGTTGAAGGTGGACCATGTAGATCATAGCAAAAGTTGATAGTATGTCCCTCCATACCATAATGAGTACACCTTCTTTGATTATTACCACGTCCCCTACCATGGGCTTCCCCTAAGTCTCGTCCTCCAACACGACCACCACCACGACCATACATGGGTCCACCACCACTACCACGGCCATGCTGACCTCCTCTACCACCACGACCTCTCCCTCTTGTAACTGCAAATGCAGACCTATCTGAAATACTGGAAGTCTCTGTGGGTCCAACTGAAATCCTCCGAAGACGAGTAAACACTTCCTCAAGAGAGGGAAGAGCAGATCCACCTAGTATCTATGCCCTTACGGGTTTATACTCAAACTTCAGCCCTACTAAAAATCTGGTCACATCCAACTGCTCTCTCTGTTGTTGCTGAATTTTGACATCAGGTGTAAGAGGATGATAAACATTCAACTCATTTCGTAAATTTCTCATATTGGCATAATAGTCCTCAAGACTCAGATTCCCTTGTTGCAGATTGAAGTACTCTTGATACAGTTGGTAAACCCTAGTAGTGTTATCTTGTCCAGAATATAGTTTCCTTGTATGATCCCAGACTTCCTGGGCTATATCTAAAAACATGAAGTTCACACTAATTTTGGACTCCATGTTGTTCCATTGCCAAGTCATAATTTGAGCATCCTCCTGCTCCCATTCATCATATCCCAGAGAATCAATTGGGAGTTTATCTTCCCTCACATGTTTCACTTTCTTTTTGGCTTTCAGGAAAACTTCAACAAACTTAGCCCAAGGGACATAATTCTCACCATTCAGTTTTATAGAGGTCATCTACACATTCAAATAATCAGAAGGCACCATCACACTTGATTTGTATTCACTGTTGTCTCCCATGACTGCACAAGAAAACAATGGGAAGCTGTACCACTAAATTCTTACTCTACTGCCCTAATAAATCACCACACTCCACACGAATGACTGAACACCACTAGGGTTCCTAGTACCGGGTTTCAGCAACAACACTCACAACTGTTCACCACTGCTTCAGCAACAATATTCATACTATTCACCACTTTTAGCAATAGCACTACTGTTGCCGTCTACTGTCAGCACTAGAAACCCTCACAACACACCTCACGAATAGAATATTCAATTCTGCAACATATAAAAAACTTGCTACATATCACAACTTAATTCGGAGATCATGTACCTATCGAGTAGAGGGTACCAAGTCTGCACTGTCACCATCACAAAACCAGCCCTCTTCAAATTCTACAAACCACACAAAACCACAATGACTGCACTCATTGGAGGCATGGAAACCCCCAGAAGGAGAAAACGACCAGTCCTTTTCTTTCTTTCTGGAAAACTCTCTAGGTATCAATGAGAATTCTGCAAAACCCTAGAAAGGAATGCACAGAACAGAGAGAAAAGGAGATGACTGATCTGAACTAATTATAATGGCTCTGATACCATGATAAAACTCAGACTAGATGTTGTATAAGTTCAGATCAGAAGAAAGAGGAGAAGAAGAGAGAGAAGGAGAAGAAGGAGAAAAGGTCACAGCCGAACTAGAGAAAAAAATTCAAATCTCTCTAGTCGGCCATTCTTTTATTTATACTCTTCTAAGATATACAAGAATTACCATTGTGCCCTCACTTACGTGAGAGCCACATCAGCTGAACAATACATATATAACTACACATAAAAGGACAATACTACCCTTGTATAGCCGGCTCTAACACCCCTCCCTCCTCTCCCCCCTCTGATTCTTCGGAACTTTGAACTTCTGCACCCCCCCCAGTCCTCTCCCGCTTCCTCCTTGCCCCCCTTCTTCGTCCCACTCTTTGTCCTCAATTCTTTCCTTTCTTCAGTTTTTCTCCCCCCTCCTACTTCTCTCAAACTGCTCGAATGTTTTTTTATAATAAAAAGAAATATATTAATGAAAAAAAAAAAGAATACAAGATCAAGGCATAGTTTTCAAGGCACCAAGTCGAGGCCAGGCGATTGGGGGGCGCCTTGTCGCCTAGGCGATGGATTTTTTTATGTTAAAAACATAGATCCTAGGGTAGTTCCCTAGGTACCATAACCATATTTCTTTAATAATTATTCATGATTTTCTTAAGAAAAGTATAAATCTCATATTAAAGTATAGAAAATCAACATATTCATGAGAAGGAAAGGAAGAAGGAAAATAAAATTCAAAAACTATAGGGGCTGAACTCTTATTTTTGTTATAGGAAAAGAAGAAAATAAAAAGTATTGGTAGTAGTAGTAGTAGTAGAAAAGAAGAAGATTTTTAGTTCTTCCTTACTTATTGGTTCAGGTTTTTAAGTCTTTGAGGGTTCAATACAGCATTTAACAATGCTTGTGTTGATTAAACCCTAATAAATAAGAAAATAATAAAAAGAAATTAGTATATAAACACACAAAATGATTATTTTAGTTTAATAATGTCTATTTTATAATTATTATCTCAGAAAAGAATGAATAAAAAAAATATTTTATAGTAGGAAGTAGAAAACTGCTTGGCAATTAGGCGAGGCGAGCCTCAAAGGGCGCCTTGTCGCCTTGACAACTATAGATCAAGCTGACAAACAATGACCCACAAGAAGGAAAGAAACACCTCAGAACTAACAAGACAGAAAACAAGACTACAGAAAACTCCCCCTAACTCATCCTCAACCACCTCACCCCTGACCCCTGCAACTACAGACAATTATCAATTAACTAATCAAGACAGACCAAAAGACATGCACAAATACCTACATTAATCCTCCCCTCCAACACTTCATCACTCCCATCATCAGTTTCATTCCAGACCTCTCCTTCCCCTACCACAAACTCTTTTCAAGCTCTCCTTCACTCCTTTTTTCTATCAAACTCCTCAATGACTC